TCATTATTAAAATAAACTCTTGAAAGGTCATAAGCTTCAGTATTTATCCACTAACAGTAAATTTTAAGCCTTGTCCTACGCTAACACTCACCCACCACGATTTGCTGTGCAGAATCTGTTTACATTTGCCTGTGTTAGTCTGTAGACTTTATAGTAAGTTATCTAGAGCTACAAGGAATGATACAGCAAACTTTTCCACAGCACGAAGAGGTTTATGAGTTTTGGAAGGTCCTTGTGCTGTTCCTATCACAACCTTAAACACTTTTTTCCTTATTTAGTGATATATAAAAAAGTGATATAAAAAATCCCAGGTGGTGCATCTAAAGTGACTTATTTTGCATCCACATTATAAAGAGAGCTTTAAAAAACCCTAAATTCCTCTACTCTCCTCCAAGTTCTTTTTTGTCCTTGTTTCACAGTGTGGAGGGACATCCCCTGCCTCTTTTTCCCTAAAGGGCTTTTGAACATCTGGGCTGAAAGGCTCCATTTTTACGTCTGAATCTGAAAGCCTTTTTATTTCTTCAGTTCAGTTGTGTTAATGTAGGTAGTGAGGTGCCAACATGAGCTATCATGAAATCTCAAAATATATGGTGTTTGTTCTTCAAAGTTTATATCTTAAAAAAAAAAAAGAAGAACCAAAATTAAAAATCTCCCTCGTTTTGGAGCCTCCAGTTCAGCATTTTGATGCAGGCAGAGTTCAAAGCATTAATGTTTTTAGTTACTATAGCAGGCTGCATTGCCTGCAGTTTTCACTGGCATTTCTTATGGGTTTCCCCTTATCTGTCTTGCGTGATGGAGTAATACAGAGCATCTGTTCCCAATGCGTGACTCAGTGAGTGTCTCAGTATATATTTCCCCAGATTTTCAGCATCCCTGCTCAGGAAGGAGCTGTAGTGAGCCTGTGCCAGCACGATGCTGTCCTGTGGGCTCTGCTGGACCAGGCAAATAGGAGCCACGTCGCTGCACATTTCAATGTTGCGTAGCACTAATGAGACGGCAGATGCCAGCTAATGTTTTTAAAGATGTCAAACAATACGTGTGGTAGGTGCTAAAGACTGTTTTAAACACATTAATTAAATGGATTGTCCAATAAATTTTATGATAAGATTTGTTTTCCCATCCTTAGAAGGATTCCTAATAGCTTTTTATTTATAGGGGTGCTGCCTACTGCTTTAAGCCCAAGGTATCAAGCCATGTGCCAGCAGGACTAACAGCGCATCACGTCTATGTATACGGCTTAGTCTTAGGTGCACAAGTACTAATGTGGGGTTTTCTTCTCTTCTTAGAGAGTTAATTTATAAAGAGGCACATAGCCCAAAACTGCAATAATACAGAGGGTCATCTTTACCTTATAAAGCCAGAAAACTCAAGAACGAGGAAAGAAATTGTCTATATTAGGCCAACTTGTAACAGAGATTTTTTTTTTTTTGGAAACTCCTACTGTGGAAAAGAGACTATTTCTTTTTAACACTGAACATACAGCATTTTAACTTCTTTTCCGATATGTCTACAGCCAGCCATAAAAGAAATGCGTTAATGGATGTCTTTTAAATGGTTTGCATCACTGAAGGTGGTCAGTTGGGACTGAAAGAGAATTGCTTTGCCGCAAGGTGACTTCCCTGTTTGAAACGTTCATGGTTTTGTATTTGCTTACACAATATTGGTAACCTTAAAGTATTTCTTTTAAAAAGGAACAAACTGAGTATGATGACATTTGTCAATAAAAGACGGTTATGGTTCATCTAAAATTCCTTACTAATTTACAGAATTACTTTCTGGTTCTGGAGAAATACTCGTTATCTTGCATGCACTTTGATATTTATTTTGTTGTTGTTTTGGAAGGCGTAAGTCACTGTCGAGCGGTCACGTAAGGCTGATAAATCCCTGAAGCTTTGGCATATATAAGCACAAAGGTGATGTTGAAACGTAAAGAAGTAATGTGAATAAATGTGCGGAAAGTGTGCTTTCTCCTCCAGATCGAAATACCAACTGTTGACTCTTAAGTGACTTAGCAAGAACGTGTTCTTCCCAAAGTGGCAAATTAAATGCTGCTCATTAAGTAGTTTCTGAAATGCAAAATGAAGTGGAGCTGCAAGGATTGAGCTGATAAGGCTTTTCTAAACGTGGGTTAGAGAATGCAGAGCAAACACCAGCACTGCGCCCTGCACCCGTCTCTGCCTTTGCAGAGAAGGCATCCCCCAACTTGTAAAAATACATCTCTTTTTTTTTGAGATTTGCATAAAGTATTAATGTGCTTCACTCCTCACTCAGCCCTGGGAAAACAATCTTTAAATCCGAAATAAAGGTAATATTTGGTGAGGAGTGGAAGGAATCAGTGGGGTGTTTTCCCTAAAACCCTTTGAACCTGGGAGCTGTGCCACGTACGTGGCTCGAGGGAGGCTCCAGCAGTAGACCAGTTTTGGGGTAGGATGTGTGAAGTTTGTGCTGCACCTTTGGGTGCTTCGCTTGCTTGCAGCCAGCCTGTAACCCGAGTCTGGGGAGCTGCCTGCGTGTGGCACACAACTTGTTTTTTCTCCCGCACCCAGATCTGGGGAGGAGGTTGGTCGCTGTTACCGATACGTTCAACCCATGTTCTGGTGCTGTTTCGTTGGGCTTGGAGCCTGCACTGGAAAGGGCAAACCAATCTTTGTATTTTGAAATGCAATTACATTATTTAATTTATTTTTTTTTTTTTTACCTGTTGTTGATGCCTGGTATTGTAAGATAATCTGCTTGAATGCCTGTAAAAAGTTTTATTCCACTGAGACTGGACTGGCGGCTTTTCACTGACCTTACACAGCCATGCTTGTGCTGAAAGCAGTGGTACATTTGGATTTCTGTTTCTTTTTCCGTGTTAATTTGGATGTTTGCTCGTTTGTGTGCTTGTTTTAAGATGAATCTACTGCTTGATTAAAAAACACATCATACTTGCAAACGGTTTCCCATGGCTTGCTCACTCGTGAATGCTCAGTTTTGAATGTTTTTTCGGGCGTGCTGAATGGTCGTAGTTAATTATTCTGGTTTTGGGAATGGATTTAACATAGAAAAAAAAATTCTTAAATGGAAGACATTTGTCTGTTTTAACTGAGCACTTTGAGAATTAGCTTGTGTTCAGATTCAAAAGGGTGTGAAATGTGGAAGTTGTCCTGGAATTGGGTGTATAACTAATTTGTGAAGATGACGTGTCTCTAAAAGAGGACGGAGGCTTGGAAAGGGGTTTTTTTTTTCCCTACCTTTTCTGATCCTGTGCGTTACCTTTCTGGCTAGGAGGGATGGTCTAGTATGCTGGAAGGAAAGGTAGGACATAGAAAAGAAGCTCGAGAGGTCTGTAGGCAGTGGTTCTGGTGTTAGTGAGGACTGACTTTGGGTTTCTCCACCTTGAACTCTGAGGCATCACAAGTCCACACTGTGCTTTGTAAAGGAGTAAAGGTTGATTTTTACTATTATTATTATTATTTATTTTATTCTTCCTGGGGATTATAATACAATTCTGTAGAATACAGTGTTTAACGGTGGGGAACAACCCCTGAGAAGGATGCTCTCAGCCTTTCCCATAGTGGGGCAAGCTTCCCACGTAGTTTGTGGAAAGCAATCAAACACACAGCTTCTCACTGAACTAGAAGAAAATACATGGGAGAGTTGTGATTTCTTTCTTTTTTTTTTTTTTAAACATCTGTTCTCCTGGTGCCGAGAGCCTAAAAATCTTATTGATCAGGTCCGTTATTACTGTAGCAACTTAGTTGCCTTTTTTTTGCCCTTTTAAGATCAGTGGGAGAAATTCCCTTTTCTTTTAGCTGCAGGCATCGTAGTGACAGCGTACGTTCCCCTGCCCCAGGTTTCTGACAAGTAGATGCTTGTGTAAAATAAATTAAAAACAATTTTTTACTTTGCTCAAAGTAAGATGCAAATGAGTAAATGCTTCTCCCTCCCATATGCCTAAACCTTTGTATTTCAGAGACAGATTACTTTAATACCTTTTTTATTGTTAGTCTATGGATGCAGTTTTCAGGTTATGAGGAATATTTTGAGCTGTTTGCCGACTATTAATTTTAGGTGCAGAAAAGAAACCCATAAAAATTAATAAACCGACCTCTGGAACTTTTTCACGGGATCCTTTGAGCGGGCGAAGTAGGCTGCTAACAGCTTGTTTATGATAAATGCTGCTAAAGACGGGCAATCGGAGGACGGGGCAATAAATCACGCGAGCAGGTGAGATGCTGTTGGCAGCAATCACCGAAAACTGCGCTCGCCACAAATCTTGCCTTCAGTTTAGAGGAAAACCAGACATTGTTTGTTTGTCCTTAGCATAAGTGTCAGTGTAATTTTGCTTTTGGATCCATCTTGATGAGAGGAGAGGCAAAAGTATTTTTTTTTTTTTCAGTAAATGATACTTCAGCCTGGTATCCTGTAAGTGTCAATAGCAGTTATCTTGTGTGAAATGAGTGCCATTAGCATGTTGTCTGCTGTTAGTCATTCACCTCTTATTAAATTCCTGATGCTCTCCAGATGGTAAAGGACAAGGTACTAGGAAGGGTTTTATTTGATCAGTAGAGCTGAACTTTTTTTCCTGAAAACTGTATTATTATTTTTTTTTGGTGATCTATATGATTATTTTTGTCTCCTTTCTTGTGGTTTCCGAGCCAGATACGGGTTAAATTTTCATCTAAATTATTAGCTGAGCTCATCCCCACTCTGCAGTCACATACAATGGTGAGTTCTTTCTCAAAAAAAACCCAAACCCAACCCCTGAGGTAGATGAGAGACATCAGCTGCAGACCGTGGGTCTGGCCTGGAGAGGCTACGGGCTAACTCTTGCTGGGACATCTGCTCAGGCTTCTTAGCGGTGCCCAGTCAAAGCAACGACCTGGTTGCTTCGAAACTTCCTTGCTCTTCGCAAGTCTAACCATTCAACTTGATGTTGTTATGTTTTGCCAGCTTATTTTATTGTCGGTTAACCAGTTTTCTTTCCTTTATCTTGTATATGATGGGATCTCCGCTAGACAGAGGTAACGGTGGGGGACAGTTGTGTAGCTGGACCCTCGTGTGGTGGTGTTTGTCAGTGGTTTTTCCTAAAGCTGTTCCTAAATTCAGCCTTGCTTTCACCATGCTTCTGTGCTTGCATGACCTGGTTTCTGTGGAATAACCTCATCCACGCCTACTCTCCTTTATATTCATTTCATTTTCCTCCATGCGTGCGTGTGCCTCCTCCTGCTGTGTTCTTAAAATGGGTCACCGGTGTGGATTTCCTAACAGTTTTATGGATCCTTTTCAGTCTTTGAATTTTCAGTGGGTCAAAGGGGGACTTGGATTTTTAGCTTAGGAAGGGAGATTAGGTGATAAAACACATGCGGTATTTTCTATTAAAACAAGGTGCTGAAACAGAAGTGGAGCGAGAGAGATTGAGATTGGTACTGGTCCTGGTCCTCCTAGCGAGCTTGCTAAATACACTCCTGAATTGTGTGCTTCTGATAACTACACACTTTTGATAACTTTGATCATACTTTATATTCATGCAAAGTAGTTCTTTCTTGGCGATTGCTACAACAGAGTATAACTAAAATGCTATTAGTGAATTATACTAATTTCCTTTTTGAATCCTCTCTTAAAAAAAAAATCTGATTTTCATTACACTCATCTCTTAGATTCAGACATAGTTTTAGATATCTGTATTTCAGCTAGGCTAAAACAACTAAATATTGTTGTGCAATTCCTTACCCCTGATTTGAGATGGGGAAGCACTGACCTTTGCAGAGTGTTTCTGACAGATTCGAAGGCTGGAAAAGGTCCAATGAATATGAATGGAGATAGTTGGGGTGTGTGTACATGGAATGCCTTGTTGGTGATAAGAATACAAATAAATCCTTCCCTGTCTCTAATCGATTGCTTTATTTTCTCTTTTTGGGGTGTGGGTCGGATGAATAAATAGAAATTGTCCCAGGAGCGAGAGAAGTTTGCCGACGAAGACAGCATATTTTATGCGCTTGGAGAATGTGGACTCATTTCTTTTTCCGACTACATCTTCCTCACAACAGTCCTTTCCAGTAAGTACTGGGGAGGGGGGGGGTCCTGCAATTACTGTTTTTCTTAATGTTTTAAAGGTTTACAAGCAACGAGTTTGCTATTATTGTCTACATATGTTTCCCTGAAAGGAATTCTTGATTGCTTGAAACTCGAGTTAAGTGAATAATGCTATTGCTTCATCTGGTTTAGACTTAGCTTCAAGTGGGTCAGAAAGATCCATGACTTCTGAAAATATATTTTAAAATGTGGCAGGTTTGGGTTTGGTTTTTTTTGTTGTTTTTTTTTTTTGAGTGAGTCATTTGGTCTGCTGTTCAAAACTGTAAATGGAGACCTGTTCTTGAGTTGCGTTCATAGGATATTCTTCTGTTTGGATTAATATTGCTTTCCAGCTCTTCACTCTTTACAAGACTGTTCAAACTCTCTTCTCCAGCTGTATTTTCCCTGTGGGTAAACTCAGGCTTGTGCATGATGTAATCCAATGAGGAGAGAAGTTAAGCTGTTTACATTTCAACATGTATCATTAGATACCTTCTGTCTTTTCACCCTGCTGCACTTGCATTTGTGATATTTCTGTGATGTGATAATCTGTTCCAGCAAAGTCTTCTGCACTTGGAGGTGCTGGCACTTAAGTTTGCTTTGTTGGCAAGAAACAGTGAAACTGAAGCCTTTGGTAATGTCAAACAGCATTTCTAGATTTTCTTCATGGGGGAAACCAAGCTCGAAACCTCATTTGCAGAGCTTCTCTACTGCTGCATCACAAACACGAAAGTCAACAGAAATTCCAGTTATTTTTCAGCCCAATTAGAAAACGTGGGGTAATGAGGAATATGCCACTGTCCAAATGAACTTGGGACTTTGTATTTTTAGACTTCAAAAAAAAAGAGAGAGAGAGAAAACTTGGCCATCTAATCTTGTAAGTATCCGTTTCGTGATGACCTGATTACAGGAATTAAAAAGCTGGACACTTCCCAGTTTATTGTAGACCCCCATCGCTACCTGCTCTGTGCTGTTCAGGGAGTCAGCTGGGTAATCACTGATGTTTTGTAAAAGCAACAGGTGATTTTTTTTTTTTCCCCCCATGTTCTTGCATGCTGTAACACGGACAAACGAAAGAGGCAGCTCTTCATTTATTGAACACGGCATTTCGGCGGATCTGTTACCGGGGAGAAGCAATGTTCAAGGTCTTGCTTGTAGTCAAACGGTCACGCATATGTGACCTTCATGTCGTGAAAACAAACACTGGGAGATAAAGCTAGTTCCAGCCAGGGGATTTGTTTTATGATTCTAATCTGCTTTTTTGTTTGACTGAATCTCAGAACTGACTCTGAAGACTTTTGCCGTTCCTTTCTTATGTTAGTCTAGCCTGTGCCGAAATTATCTAAGGTATTTTCACTTGTGTAGCGAGGGCTTTTCATCTGAGTCTCCACAGATGGCAATGAACTCTCAAATCTATAGTATCGCATTACTGAATGTGGTTTAGAAAATGATCGTGCCCTTGGCTTTATGGCTGTGCTGGCGGTGAACAACCCCCTAATCAAGTACACAGGGCACAGAATTAATTTCATTTCCACAGGCAGCAGTAAGAGAAATTGTTCTTGCTTTGGTTTCTTTGTTGTGACAATAAAAGAAAAAGGACCCCTTCTGGTAGAGTAGCAGCCAGCCTTGTTTTGGAGGGCTATGCAGGAGGGATTTCTTTTTCCCCCTCTTGTTCTTGGGCTTTTAAGCATGTTTGCAATTACTAGGGAATCAGACTAACAAGAGGAGACGGAATTAGGCGGTGTGTGATTAGAGGAACCATGTTGAAGGGTGGGCAAGGCAGGAGCTTTCAAAAAGGAAAAAAATAAAAAATTAGAGATGAAAAAAGTGTCCCATGACTTTTAGACTGACTTTTAGGTATTTTGGGAGTTTGCTGAATGCGTATTGAAGATGGAGGAATGTCTCTGGAGCTACTGTCAAAGAGTGATTCCCCAGAGGAAGACTTCGGGTTTTATTTTCAATGCATTTGCTTCTATAAAACTAAAACTCCCAAACTGACCTTGCCCTGTGGCTAGATAGAAAATTGACTGTTCTGCCACACTGATTTAATCTCCTAATGAACATTACCTTGCAGGAATCCAGTAGTTCCTGATTTTTTTTTTTTTTTTTTGCTGGGAAATAAATAAAATAGAATGAGGAAAGTACGACTTAAACCTGGCAGATCAATATTGGTTTTCTCACCGTGTTATTTAAATAACCCAAACATTACGAAGGTATCTGGACAAGAGAGAGCCGCAGATTACATCAAATAGCTGAAAGCCACTAAATATTGAGAAAGGAAAGTGGCGTATTGAGCACTGAAGCAGGATAATCAGAAGGGGAGCGTGAGATCGGGTCTGGGGGTGGGAGGCAGGAGGGGAGAGATGTTCCTCTGCGGTGCTCAGAAGTGATAGGGAGAGATCAATCGTGGTCTGGTCTGGCTTACTGAACTCCAAACTGATCAATGATAACTTCTAAAAAGAAGAAACCCAAAGGGCTTCGTGTCACTCCGGAGGGTTGTGCCCAGCAAGTCTGCTGGGATGGCTCCTGCCCATCTCCTTGGCTCTACCAAAAGCACCGCCGGGCTTTGAGAGTGCTTGCTTAAGCTTTTCATTGAATGTGTCTTTGCAGCTTTGGCTGTATTCTCTGAAACACGGATTGTGTGGCAGCTGCCGGGGAGGGAGAGGAGGAGAGAGGGGTAGAGGCTTCATCTGTATGTTGCTCGCGGAGAGCTGTTTGCATATTGCACAGAAAATGAAGTCTGTCACCGTATTTTATTCACAAGTGATTTATTGCTCTAGCACTGTCTGTTCTCGCCGGCTGCTGTGTTTCTGTGAAAATGTATTTTTAAAACAGCTAATAAAATAGCATTTAACTGCTTCGGAAGGTCAGCCATCTATTAAAGGCAATGAGAGTCCTTAAGGATACCCCACGGTTTTGGTTGCTTCAGCTGCTCCCTGTGTTTTGGGGCAGAGGCAGAAAGACAAGCAAAAGGTCAATGGGATTTCCCCTGGGCCCTTCAAATGTCATAGGGAAGCAATGTCTTTGCTTTCTTAAACCAAAGAGGTTTTTGCTTTTGGACTTGCAGAACAGGTGGAGGAAGGGGAGAAAGAGCTTCTCCATCATCAGCAACTGCAATTTCAGAGCAGTCGTGGTCCGCTGTCCAGGCGCACTAATGCCTACTTGATTAACGGATGCTGAAGGGAGCTGGGCATTGAAAGAATAGGTCGTGTTGTTTCCATAATTGGACTGTCGCTGTGTCTGGATTTACTTCTCCTGGAAGGAGGGTTAAACAGCATTGGATCAAGCCAAAGGAATTATTGTCCTGCCAGGGCTCTCGTAGCAGATGCGCAGCTTCTTATCCCATCTCCTGCAGGCTCTTTCTAGAGCTCAGTGTGCTGCCATCCCTTATGGGTACTCTCACCTGGGACAGATTGACTTTTTTATTATTATTATTATTATTTTCCTCCATGTAAAAAATAAATTCCAAACCACCTAGCTCTGGCAATGATTTTCTGGCTGGATCTCTGTCAGATCCCTGCCATGCAGGTGGCACGGCATGCTCTTCCGCACCGCTGTGTGCCGGCAACGTCATCTCCGGGCTCCGTTTGTGCTGGGGTCACTGAATATGTACTGCTGGCTGACACCAACGTCTTCAGCCTCCTCCCTGCCATGAGTGAGATCATCACCGTACCGGCGGTGGTTTAATCCTGCAAAGCAGCACTAAGTGCCATAGGGCTCATTTCTACAAGAAAAGGTGATAAAAGGTTGCTTTGAGTTTATAGGAAGATTCTTGTTTGTGGTCCTGTTCATCCTACTTTTATCTTTAAATTTTCAAAACCCTCCGTTTACCTACATGCGTATATGTGGGTCTGTCTCATCCGTACTATGTGGTGTAGGGAGGTCTTCAATACTTTTCTGCCAGCCCAGTTGCTGCTGTGTGGGATTTCCAAGGTGCATCTGAGCAACACAGAGATCCTCTCCCAAGGGATGTCCCAGCTTCTGAACCGAAGCCTGGTTGCTTCACATCAGACCAAGAGTACTCTGGCTCAGCATCCCGTTTCTGCCATGGGCAGTTATTTTAGCTGCCTGTTATTTACATTTCTGTGTTGATTAACCAAAAAAAAAAAAGGTGAGAGGATTTGGAATTTTTTTCTAAAATAATGGAATAATTTGAAAGGAAAATATCTGCACCATTAGGACATTTTAATCTTGGTTTGTTTTTTTTTTCCTCCTCCATATCTATGGCAGCTGAGGCTCAGCCATCTATATTCTATGGATAGTTGCTTCCCTATAAGGCTGTGATTCTGTTCTCAAAAAAATGTTACAGCATTTGGAGACGCATTATGTGAAAGTCCATAATCTAGCTCTTCCCTGTTACTGGTGCGGTGGCTGCAGTCTTGTAAGGGTGAGATTGTGTGTGACCCTGATTCTTCCCTTCAGACAGAAATGTTCCAATTCAAACATGTACAGAAAAATTTCTCGGCTAAAATACCACTGTGCAGAGTCAGACAGAATAACAACCGTGCTGATTCATGTAGATTAAGGGCGGGGAGGGAGGGATCATAATTAATCTTTGGCCGGAGGAATAACGTAAGCTTTTTTCCCCAATATTGTGGCCTGAAAAAAGGAAAAGAAAAAACATTAAAGCTGCAAGGCTTGAAGAGCCATCTCTTGAGATGAAAATCTGTCTTTACCTCTAGGAGGACTATGTTGATTTCAGATTGATTGATTATGAAGAATTTTTTTTTTTTAGCTTCATGGTACTATGGCCTTTGCACATGTATTTTTCTTAATTTTGGGATAGATGGGGAAAAAGCAATCATCGGATATTTAACTCCTAAAGACTAATTTTTCTTGAAGTAACTCCCCAGCTGAGTTCTTGATCTGTCATCCCACACTGGAGTTGCTTGGGGAGTTACTCAGTTTCAGGATGGATTTTGAAGTCCTGAGCTGCTTTGTGTTTAAATTCAGACAAAGACATTTTCAGCTACATCTGAAGGGAGCAACGTTAATTTTCCAATAGCATGTTCAAAACAGTTTTCCTAAAATGTGGTACCTCCGCTTGAGGTGGATGCTCTGCAGCCACTTAATGTTTGTGACTGTAGCCAATGTACTGCATGAGTTGCAGTAGGACTCAGAGGGAAAGACTTGTTGAGAGGTATCTCCAAGTGCAGAGCATTGAGTTTGGGGGAAGGAGAAGATTAAATGAGTGCAAAAATAGTAGAACGTGGCCGTTCTCATCGGTGAGCATTTATTGTCTCTCAGAATGCATTGCTTCTGGTGAGAATAAATGGCAATAAAGAGCAATTGAGTGCTACAAATTGGCCTACTGAATAATTCAAAATAGTTAAAAATGACATAATTGGCTTAAAGATGCCTAATCAACCCATCTAATGCCTCAGAGGTTCCCTGGGGCTTAATAGTGATGAGTCGGGTGGGTTTTTCAATGTGGTCAGTGCTGCTGCTCATCATCTGTTTGTCTGGTGGAGGTTGCTCATCTTTGTCACGCTACTGCGTGTGGCTTTTGGTTTCCTTACTGCCTTTCTGTCCCCAGATACTTGCTTTGAACAAATGAGTCAAGAAAAAAATGTTAATTGCCCTTTGCACTAACATCCAGGTTAGTTGAAAAAGCAAACTGGTGTGGAGAGCTGGTGGAGCTATGGATCTACAGAATAATTTCAGCCTGATCTTTCTAAATATATTTGCCTATATCTCAAAGCAGGGATTAGGTAACTCATGAATTGATATTGGTGTGGGCTCCAGTACCATATTTTCATTTGTGTTAATGATTTGGAGGGGTTGTTAGGAATTTGTTGTATCCTCCTATCCACCTAAAGACTGGAAATAAAGCTAGAAAAGAAACTGTGGCTTCTCCGACCAGTTCCAGACTCTGTTGCCCCAGGGAAATTAATTGCAATGAAAAATCTTGATTCTGAATAATGTCCAAAGGGATGGTGACGAGATAGCTCACAAAATCAGAGAGAGCTGGAAATGCAGCTCAGCGCTTGGGGAAATCCAGGAGTGGTTTTCCCTTGTAAAGACAGGCATTGCGCTGTATTAAAAGCAAATAGTCCTTTAAATGGTTTTGATAACCATTACAGGAGGAATATTGCGTTCATTTTGAGGCACCTTAATTAAGGAGGCAGTCGGGAAATTTAAGAGAAGCTGCAGTCAACAAGGGTAAAATTGGGAGGCAGTATAGAAGAGGGGGGGAAAAAAAGAAGCTAAGTTTAGTTCGACAAACCAGTATCTGCTGCTTTTACAGTCAGTTTCTGAAAGATGTAAGTACAAGGGGAGGAAGAGAAATGGAGGTGGTACAGGTTGAGGTAAGCACGAGTAATGGGGCAGGGTGGGCAAGGGGGGTTTAGCTGCCACTGGAATGACTCTTCCCCAATAAATCCTGGTCAGAAACATCATGCCCATGAGGAGAGGCAGAAATCGTCTCGCTCAGGACCAATAAATCCAAGCTGCCTGAAGATCAGGGACATATATCTTGATGAACGTTTCTTCCTGAGCAGGAGCAGGATGAGCTAATTGTCTTCGGTGCCCTCTGGTTTCCCTGGCTCAGATTCACGTTTGGATTGAAGTGTCGTTACAAGTAATTGGAGTTAGATATGCAGATCAGAGGAAGAAACGAGCTGTGTCGCTTATTAGCTGAAGGAATGAAGTAATTAAATTTGCCAATTTAAAGACACTTTCCTTCCCTGTCCTTAGAAAATACTGACCCTGCAGATTTTTGATGCTGAACTGTTCATTTTAATTTTACAATTGATGTTCTCCTCTGGGGCTTTGATAAACTGCTCTTGAAAATGTGTATTTAGAGAAGGGAAAGGAAGGGAATGGCCTTTGCGAGGGGCAGGTCAAGTACCCTGCTTTCTCTGTTCACCTTGTGTCTGCGTGAATGGGACATGGTACTATATTTTTCCTTTAAAAAGGGGGAAAAAAAAAGAAAAAAAACCCCACCAAACACCAATTTTTATCAAGGGGTAACAAATTTTCCAATCTTGGAATATACATCATTGTACCCTGGTAGGGAAAATGGAGGAAGAAAGATGAGATGTGCAAGCTGCTCTTTTTCTAGCATCTTGTAGCTAGATTAGAGCTTTGTATAGTCCCCTACTTCCTCGTAGGAAACAACTCTTTTGCTAGATTTTGGGGGCTAATAAGGAGAAATGCGTCCAGGCTTTCACACAGTACATGCAATTAAAGTGAAGAAAATTGGATGTGTTATTTAAACGTTAGGAGGGTAGTTGGAGGGTGCTTAATATTCTTGCTTTCAAGGAAGTAAGGAATTAATCACTGGAAATGCTGGGTGGATACAGAGGAAGCTTTTTGTATAAATCCCTTTAATTAAGTTGTATTGTTGAAGAGATTATGAAGTCGGTGTTGGGGACGACCTGTCCACCTGTGTACATCTCAGCTAACACCGAAATAAGAAGGGATGGAGAGCAAAGCCCATGCCAGCAGGCAGGACAGAGAAGCTGAGTGGAGGCATCGCTTCTGCTGCAGGGTTGTGTATGAAATAACCCACCACGTGCTGCTGGCGATTGCCGCGGTTATAGGAGACGTCGCTTATGCACGTGGTGTTGGGAATTTAAAGCCCAAATAATTGGCACAGGGAAATTGGAAATCCAGAGATGATACCAGCAGGACTGTATGTGCCGTATATATCAAGCAACTAGCGACAGGCCGTTCCTGCCATCGAGTTTAATGTTGTTATACATCTGTTTAAGGCACAAAGTGATTGGAAAAAGTGATTTCATTAACATATTTGCTGAATCTTTTACCGATAAAGCGCTACGTTCTATTACAGCAAGGGGAAAACACGACCTGAAAGTCCCCTAGCCCTGAATTGAAGCTGTAACTAATGTACAAAATCCAGTTCGGTTAATTCCATATTAATTTCTTTTTGTCTGAGTGGTTCCTCTTCGCACTTCCCTTCCCACCCCCATCTGGGAGATGCCTTACGCAGAATGCTGGCTGCAGAAACTCATTGCTTTTTGAGCATCCACAACAACTATTAAAAGTTGACTGCAACAGATGAGGTTAAAGGGGGATGAACCTCACCAGCGACCCACATCCTGCTGCAAGATTTGGGTGGGGGAAAGCCATTTTCAGAACAAAAAAAAGGGGCTAAGTTTTAATTGATCATTTAAGTTGACAACTTAAGCACTAGTTATAGCCTAGAGGATTCCCTGGAAATCCCAGGAAACACCAAGATTCCTGTAGATGGTATGTATTTGAAAGTAGCAGAGCAAGATAAATTCTCATATATCAGCTTAATTTGGAAAAAAATTGTGGCACTGTGTTGTAGCTTTAAATGGTGATGGGTTACAGAGCCCAAAATGGAAACGTACTGAAATTCTTTGGCAGGATGCAGGGGAAAGAGCGCAGTTTTGCTGTGATGGGTGGCTGTGTAGCGATGATTTTGCAGGGTTCTAGCTAAATAAACCATGACAACATAGACTAAATGCAATGAAAAATAAGGTACCACACCGTCTCGGGTGCGTCTCAGCTGGTGAGCTCGTGTGTTATCTCAGTGTCATAACCGGACGGAGACGGAGCTGGTAGTGATTTGTTTAAATTTGTACAGTGAGAGAAGAGCTGAGTCTGGAAGAGAATTACCCAAAAGTCCAGGTCTACTCCTCACCCACCAGCTGCTTCACAGAGCATGGAGAGTGCCCTGCAGCGCCAGAGGAACGTCCTCTGGCCAAATGGGTATTATACTGCATGGAGCAGGCTGGAGCTCTTGCTACAGTGTCATTTTCTGCTGATTGTCTTGAGAAATATCAGATAGTATCCTGGTTTTGTGCTTTTTCTATCTGTAAATGGAATAAATTTTGTTCAAGAAACATCTCCTCCACCCAACCTCCTTGTTGAGACCTTTGGTAAAAGGAGCACCATGCTACAGGTCCCCAAGAGCTGCATTTTCTTCTTAAAATTGCAAGAATTATGGAAAATTGCTTTTGAGTAGGATGATTCTGAACTTGTGCCTTTTTTTTTTTTTTTTATTGAGCTTTTGTATCTTTGTTAACTGGTCTCTGTTTCTTATTGTGTGGGGGTTTTGTTGTTTTGTTTTTTTTATGTAGCTCCCCAGAGGAATTTCGAAATCGCCTTTAAGATGTTTGATCTGAACGGTGACGGCGAGGTGGACATGGAAGAGTTTGAGCAGGCAAGTTGAACAACGGATCGACTTCTTGATGCTGCAGCATCTTAGTCATAAGTGCAGTGCTCATCTACGATGTTACTGTGATTCATATTTGTGGTTACTGCTGGTTTACGTCTTTTCCTTCTGTGCTCTGCTGTGTTGCCTCAGTGCCTGCTTTTTTTTTTTTTCCCCTACTGGGTATTTAAAGACATAATTTTTCATTCAACCAGGACAACTTTAAGTATAAACTGCAATTCCCCGTGACTTCGTCACCAAGGTATCTTTACAAGATGTCACCTCCAAAGTGGAGAAAGCATTTTTTTCACTGTACTGGTGTCCTAGGATTTTGGTCCTACTTTCTTCCACAGTTTTTATTGCATTCCCTAATCTTGCTTATCTTCATAGAGCAACCAGGACAAGTCTGCTTCAAGGAAGAATGTTGCCATTTATTTCAATGTAATCTAAAGAAGTGTTTGTTGAAAGGGTATTTTCATTAGTTTCTTTCCCTTGCTTCTTCCCAAGGTTTCATCAGCAGGGAGTTTGATGCAGGCTTTTCAATGAGCTTAGCCCGCATGTCTGCTACTGGTGATCCTCCCATAAGCTATGGTTTGTGATTGTGTTAGAGCGAGAATAGATTGAAGACTCGAGCCATCGGTGGGGAAAAGATCTGACCTCCCCAGGCAGAAAGAAGTGAATGGTTTTCTTCCCTATGTAGAAAACAGCCTTAAGGCTTTGGAAACTCATAAACACCCTGAAGTTGCTGCATATTGGCAAAGCTCCATGTGTGTGCTACTCATGAAAGAAAAAGTAAACACGTTTGCAAAGAAGGGAACTGGCTGGTTGGATGAGGAGTCACCACCTCTGCTATCAAAGACCAAGGTAGAGGAGATACACCACTCACCTACCTAATATTCACGTGGCCCCTGGCACTTCTTCTGTGACCCCGCATCCCTCCAGGCTGTACATTTAATGGGCAAGTGGAAGCTGTGCTTCTGGGCAAAGGAAGCGAGGCGCTGTGGTCAAAAAATAACCTGCCCTTGTGGGGGTTTTATGCTGGATCTTTTACACGTGTTCAGAGATGGCAAAAAGCTGTGTAATGATACCCGAGAACAAAGCAGCCCGGAATAATCCAGTTACAAATCCATACTCATCAGTTGATGGAACGATCAGTTAACTTCAGAAGAGTCTGTAAGAGGTCGTGCTGGGGGCACTTGCTATAAATGGGAAGAACCAGTGGCACAGCAGGTCTGTTAAATTAATGGTCCCCCCTTCTAATCTTTTGCTGTCATCCTCTTTAAATTATTACCTTGTGGGTATGATGTCATTATTATGAGTTTGCTCCAGAGCTGTGTAATGTATCTGGTTAACTGTACGTTTTTAGATGCAAATTTTGGACTATTAGGAGAATGGGAGTAAGTTTATCTCCAGTATGATATCCCTTCACATGACAGTTGGTAATGTAAACCCAGGAGTTGATTAATTTTCCTTCAATTTGAATACACCACTGTGTCCAGGTTATTGTGCTGTTTAGCACTGCCTTCCTACAAATCACTGACTTAGCTATGAAAAATTCCAAGTTTCCTATTTTCCCAAGTAAAAAATTACTGCTCTTCCTTCTATTTGCACAGTGCATGAATATAGCGTGCCACTGCAGCTATCTGATAATATCTGACAATTCAAAAGGTGTTTTACAGTAGTTACTAATGTTGTAGAGTAAAATAAATTATGGAGATAAATGAATTGAAGAAAAGTGGAGAACAGTTAACTGCCTACTAAAAATGCAGTGATGCCAAGGTACTAACACAGGTGTCATGTTTGGCTTTTTTATTAGCCATGTAAAATAAGAAAGGCTGTTTCTTGAGGATGAATGTTTCAGAATGAAAGTGAAAGTACAAAATTGAATTAAATTCTTTCAAATAATCCGGTAGGCAAAGGGAAGTTATATGTGCGGTAAGTCATATAAAAATCCTTAGCAAGAGGGACATATTTTTGTTAAGCTTGTTACATGCGTCACTGCCTCTATATAAAGGAATGAAATTCCCGGTTAGCATCAGAGCCTTTTGGTGAAGGCTGAGCTTCCAGAGCTTTCGAGTCAGCGCATGAGGGAAAGGAAGTTTGGGAAAGGGAGAAGAAGCTGACAATATCTTGACAAATAAATCAGCTGACAAATACAACTGATTTAGCTGCACTTTGCAAACAGAATTAAAGCAAAGGCATAGCTTCAGCAAGAGGCACATATATAACATTATACACATATATGATATAATGCACGGAATAACTTATGTGATAAATACTCTTTTTCACTCTTTATGGAAATGCCTCAGTAAAAGCATGAAGGATGGCAGGGTTTGCAGATCTGTACCGTAACCATCTCACCTGGCAGGGGCAGCTGGAACTGGCCCTACCAGGGGAATATGCTGCTAGAATTGGCATCGGTTTAAAAGAGCAACAAGGCCAGGTTGGACGGGGCTCTGAGCAGCCTGATCTGGTTAGCGGTGTCCCTGCTCCTGCAGGGGGGTTGGACTAGATGACCTCTAGGGGTCCCTTCCAACCCAAAACATTCTATGATCATTTTGGGGAGAATGGGGAGAAAAAGAAGGGAAAGAAAAGGGTCGTCACAGGAACGTTGTACCATCCCTGCTTGGCCCCGAGCACGTGGGAATGAATTTCTTACTCCTTTTTCACACGTCGTCTTTGGAGACAGCCAACAGCAGGTCTCTTCTCATTAATGTCTGACAAACTTTAAGAGTATTCATCAAGGAAGAAAATTACTTGTGGTAATTTAGCTAATATGCGAGTAAGTTGGAGGCTTTTACTGCCTAATGAGAAAATATTGAATTTCTTCAGGCTTTGTTGAAGAGCTTCAGATTTTTTTTTTTCCATATGGTTAGTGCATAGCGCTAAATGGTTTGGTGCCTGCATCAGTATCATCTTCAACTTTTCATCCCTCAGCATGTAAATTGTTAGCTTACTCTTCTATTTTTAATTAAAAAGCCAGATGAAAAGTAGTTAACTCTCAAGCAGTGTTACTCGTGATTTCTTTTCAAACCATTAACTGTTTTTCATTGACTTTTTTTTTCTTTTCCTCTTGCCTGGTGCAAAAGATGAAACCGATCACAAACCTGTAGGCTGAAGTATGTACAGAAGACGGTGAAGCATCTCTGCTTCCCATCCTGGTAGGATTGATGAGCTGTGGGAGAGGACAGTGCTGGTTGGGCTGGAGGACAACTTCTTGCAGGGGCTGCCTGCCTTTCTGGGTATTAGAAGGATTACCCAAAATGGGGACCAGCCGAATAATTTTGGCTCCAATGCCCACAGATGGATTTTTCAAACTGTCTGATACATGTTATAGATGGGGAGAGAAGACGGATGTAGGATAAATAACACCCGGGAAAAGATGCTCTATCGAACAGCCTGCAGTGTGGTAAACACTCGCTTCTCCAGAAACAGGGGCAGTTTTCCAAACTGGTCATAAACTGCATTGCTTCAGACAGTTTATAAATATTTGTCTCCAAAACGTGCACACAGAGCTTGCAGTTCAAGTGGAACGCAAAGCAAAATAAGGAGTTGCTCTTTACAGTGAAAAAAAATCCTTCTGCACATCACAGTGCATACTTCAAAGAAGAAAACCCAACCCCTTTTTTTCTGTATTTTCTTCTTTTTTTTTTTTTTCTTTTTTTTTTTTTTTCTTCTAACTTGACTTGGTTTTCTTTATAGTGGAAGAATAGCCATGAGTCTGTGGTTCAGAGGCAGTGTTTCAAGCGTGGTGAGCCCAGCAGCAATACACGGCGTTCCCCTCCGGAGCAGCCTGTTTGGGGTTGTTCCAGCGCTCGCTCTCTTCTTAGGAAAAAATTGAACATGCCGTATGCCACCATAATGAGGTTCTGGCGTCCTTTGGACAGCTGGAGCTCTTGGAAGAGAGGGAAGAAAAACGGCTGCCAACTTTTGTCAGCAGGAGGAAGAGGCTGAAGGCAAAGCAGCGGTGTTTGCTGGAGCTTCGGGAAGCCTGTGCTGTTGAGGCTGAGTGCTGGGCAGCACGTCGGGTGGCTTCTTTTCCCCCTCCTTTCTCACTCTTGTTGCCCTGAATATGGATCCTCTGCCTTGTTGGAAGAGATCAGCTGTTACATAGAGAATAACCCTGGCTTCTCATATCGCCGCGATAGATGGGAGAGTGCTGGGAAGGGGTGGTGGGATACTTGGGGATGGAGAGAAGAGGCGAGTGTGTTTTTGGCTTGGCTGCCCCCTTAAGTTAGCACAGGAACCTTAAAATAACAAACTCTTGGGGTTTTTTCAGGCTGTTGCATCCTTCAGGTTCAACCTTTTGCCCTGTCCTAGGGGGTAGGGAAGTTGTCCTGCACATCCTTGCCCTGTCCTGTAGCACTCACTCGAGTTGAGCGGTGCCTTTGAGAAGGTACAGGACGCTGCTGAGAGCTCAGGGGAGGAGGAGGAGGATGCCGTTTGCTTGCATGGTTTATTAAAAACATTGAGATACTGCTGTTACAATGGGTGCTTTCACACTTAGCTGTCTTCGTGCAAATACCCCGGTCTGCAGGTAAGTGGGATACTTCTGCAGTACTTGTTATGCTGGGGCTGTGTCTGGGCTGATGCAGCCTGCGGGACTTTTGGAGAGCCCTTTGCTCTGGGTGGGTGAGCCCCCCTGCCTGCAGCTCAGCTTGCTGCACAGCCCCAGGGATGCAGGAGCTTCCAGCCACGGCAGGGAGCAGCAGGCAGCAAGGAGAGGGTGCCTTTGGGTAGAAAACCCCCTGGTTTTGTGCGCAAGGGGAAAGGAAACACAATGTGAGCCAACAAGGTGTGAACTAACAAGGCTGGGCAGTAAAGTAGGAGTGGAAGCTCCAAAATGTGTGCAGGCTTTTTTCTTCCCCGTGGTTGCTTCGGCTTTCTCTCTTCCTGCGACTTTGCTGGGAACAAGCTGCTCTCTGCTGACCAGGCGTAGGATCAGTGCTAAAATGCTCATCTGCAAACTGGGTGAATTGTTTCTTAAAACTCGTTTTAAGCATTTTATATTCTTCTTTATTTAAAGAGGACTGAAAAAACCAAAGCCTAAGTTCAGACAAATTTTTGAATTGTCATGTCTTTTAAGAATTATTTTGGGGAAAAAAAAAAAAAAATAGAATCTGGAGTACTTCGTACTGATACTTGACTACTGTGAGTCCCGGTGGTGTGTTTGATGCTAACATCTTCCCTCTTATGTTTAGGTCCAGAGCATCATTCGCTCCCAAACCAGCATGGGCATGCGCCACAGAGACCGGTCTACAACGGGGAACACCCTGAAAACTGGTTTCAACTCTGCGCTGACAACGTACTTCTTTGGGGCAGATCTGAAGGGGAAGCTGACCATCTCCCACTTCCTCGACTTCCAGCGCAAACTGCAGCATGATATTCTGAAGCTCGAGGTTTGGGTTGTATTTTATGTATGGTGGAGAGGGCAGCACAGTGTGAACAGTGCTGCATGCCGTGGTTTCTGGAGGAAGAGCAAGAGCATGGGAGGGGTTTGGAGGGAATTACTACAGCTGCAGCTCATAGCACTCACGGATTCAAACCTGTTGTTGAATTTCTGATGGGCATTTTAGTGCCTGTGGCAATCCTGGGGAACATCTCCAGCTTTTGTCAGTAGCTGCTCTTGTGGAGTTGCAGCAGCAGCCGACACGTCCCGGGTGCGTGTCCCTCCATGTGGTGCTTGCCTTGCCAACGCCTTGGCACTGCTGATGGAGATGATTATGAGATGCTTTAGAAAAAGACAAAAGAGGTTGTGAGCAGTCTGTTGCTACCTTCCCAAGGCAGGTTTGTCTCATTCCTAGTGAGCAAGCTGTGCCCTGAAGGACCAGGGTACATAATCATCCCAAAACTCTTCATCTCTGCTTTTGTCCCCACCTTCTTGTTTGCTTCACTATTCTGAATATTTTGGCTGTGTAAGCATTCAAGCCTTATGTCAATCCAGCTAAATAGGTGGTCTCTTATGTGACCTCCATTATTCACTCCTGAGCTCACGTGCATGATAAGAAACGTCCATATATTTTGAGACTCTTACCCTTCAATTGAATTGAAGGTCTCCTTTTTTTCTTTGCGTTACCAGGAGTTAACAGCAGCTCCCAATCTCCCTTGTCCTCATCGCATAGCCAGAATTTAAGCATCAAACTTCAAAATTTGCTTCTTTAGACTGAAGCGAGTACAAGAACAGCAATGGGGGGGACTCCTTGGTCTGTGTCTCAGCTCCCAAGTGGAGCTGACTCAAAACCAGCCCCCTTCTCTGGAGCAGGCTCAGGGGTTTGACCTGGCTTGAGCAAAGCCAGGCTTTTATTTGCATCAGAAATGGGGATTTTGTGCACAAGAAGATCCCCCACAACCACAATGTGTTAAGACAGCAGTATTTGGAGCTCACTGCTGCTTCAGTCTGATGTATGAATGTCTGCCTGCTCAGGCTGTGTGATCCAGCAGCATGTTATTAAGTTCCTGTTAAGTCAGTTGTTGAGAACCGAACTTGAATTTATTCCCTTTTTTATTTGGAGTTTTACAAATCTAAGTAAGAACCTGGCCCAATGGCTAATTTTTTTTATGAAGGTAATTGTCCAGTTCACTGACTTCATTTAACTGGTCATTAAAGCGGGTGGTGTGGCTCTACGTTTGCAGGGGGAATAGGTTGGTTGAAGAAAAAGTTCTATGTGAACTGGAAAGTGCCGACTCCTCAGTGCCTCTACAAATTGAAAATGAATGCAATACTTTTTAAGCTTAAGAAACTTAAGATGAAACTCAAATGCAAAGGGAAGAGAAACAGATTATTCTATCCTTGTTTGCTGTCCTGCTCTGGTTTCCCACTGCCACGTTTGCTCCAGGGATGGAGGTACTGGAGTCCTGTGCTCCCTCCGCAGGTCCCTACTTATCTCATTAAGAAGCACGGGGGGGTTTTTTCAGTTTCATGGCGCTTGTTCTTCTTTTCCTCCTGCAACCATTTAGTATTAATTTAGTTTTCAGTGATTTCAGTCAATTCTACGTCTTTCTGGCGAATGTTAGCTGCCTTTCTAACAAGTTATTAATTGGGGATAGTACAAAATATTTATGTCTCGGTAAGTTAATGAATGTCATAAATGCATCACTGCTGAATTCCTGACAGCACCCTTGAGCACAGTACCATGCTGTGCTTAGCGTTTTTGATACTCATTTTAACTGAAAAATTGACCTATGCAAAGGTAGCAGTTCTTCTGTTCTGCCAAACTTAATTTTTTCCTGCGTTCATGATCCTAAAGCACCTGATTTTCTTTCTGTTCATAGTTCTCATCGATTTAGGCAACACAGACCTATTTCTGTCTTCAGCATTACACAACGTGGCCTCTCTCCTCTTCTGCTTTTATCTCTTTTGACGTGAACTCCCACCTTCTCTCCTTGCTTCACATTTGATGTGTTTGTTCATGGTTAAGCGGCTTTTCACACAAGTATCTAGCGGCTTTGCGTTGCTCCTTTTCCAGAGAGTGCTCTAATGAACTCAGCCACTTAAAAATCCGTGGCAATTTAGAAAAGAGACATCCCTCAAGTATTTACTTTGACCTGTGCAAATCAGAGAAGTGGTGCTAGGAAATACTTGTACTGCAGAGCATCAGGTAACTCACGTAGCTGATTTTTATCGGCTTCCCTTGTTTTATGTGTCTATTTGGGTAATGAGCCTGTGAGCACAGCGGTTATTCGTCAGCCTCGTGCTCGACTACCCATGCAGATCATCTCTGGATCCTTCTCTTGGTGTGGCCAGTGTTACCGATGGGCAAGAGGGAGCAGAAAATTGCGGGTGGCAGATCTGCCAGGGGCTCAGCTGAACTCTTGTACCCTCATCTACTCATCCTTTGCTGGCTTAGCAAAATGAGTACGTGGTCTGAAGCGGGGATGTTAATTTGAAAACCGTTTTTTGTTCATGTTCAGCACCTGAACTCCAGAAAAGGCTTTGGGGAAATGCACTGTGAGCAGGTCTGAAGAGTATCTCCTGGGGCTGGTGCAGCCCTGGGGTGACACGGTGCCTCTGTTCTCAAATTGGGATGCCCGCTTTCTCTCTTCCAAAAGATACCTACTTTAAGTTAGACCTCTTTTAAACCTGTTTTCCCTTCGGCTCAGGATCCAGGCATATCTGCACTTAATACGCTTGAGAGCCAGTTTCTTCCGCTGACTGTGAAGGTGGAACAATAGTTTCTGACCATCTGAACCCACTTTCCGCTTACTGATTTTGGTTCTTTTTTTTTTTTTTTTTTTTTTAACAAAATACTCATGCATATTTCTTGTTAAGATTGAGCAGAAACTTTCTCAGAGGAATTAGATCAGACAAAGCCCTGAACATTTCAGTGTTCCTTATGGCTGAAGTGCTGACAGCGTGGTTCAGTAACCACGGCCTGGTGTTTCCTTCTTCCCTTCTGCTTATTTTTTTGATGAAAGTACATTTTCCATCATTTTATGGAAACACAGCAATCAGCTCAGTTGCAGGAAGGGAAGGATGAGAAAAGTAACCACAGCCAGAGGGAGAGAAGGAGCTTTTAATGGCTTCTTAGAACTTCTTGCGGTTTGGCTACTTGGAGGAAGCAGGGTGGCCCAGCTTGGCTAAGGCTGAGCCACGAGAACCAACCCACTGAATGGGGCGAAGTCCTTGCCATTTTCTTGCTGCATTCACTCTGCCTTGCATTAGCACCTATGGAAGGGCTTTCTTCTTGTCGCTTAGCGTGACAAATGGTGACAAGTTTGGACAGGCTCTGCAGCTATAATGTGTCCTGTTAGGTCAGTTGGTATTGGGTTCAAATGGTGCTTTTTTTTTTTTTTTTGAGTGAAAGTACTCTGTGAATTAGGAAGACGAATAGGACTTGACATCATTGTTTATGCTATTTCTGCTTGTTAGTGTCTGTCCTAGATATTCCCGTGTCCTTCGTGGACCAAAAGCAGTCCCAGCCAGCCCGTGGGTCTCTTCCAGCCTAAATTTTTCTATGATTCTGTAAGTGCATGTAGAAAAGATGTGTTAGCCCTTTGTTCTCCACGGCTGTGTCACCCCTGAAAGGCAACCCAAAACCTCCTAAAAGCAGTGATTTAATCTCCATATTTAGTCATCTTTTATTTCCCCAGGTCTCTTTCTGCCAGCAGTGGGATACATGCCTATGGTGTAAGACCTTAAAAAAAGGATTGTTGGGTTTTTTTTTCCTCAATTTGCCCACAGTGAGATTTCTATAGCACACTGTTACCCTGACAGTTTCTCACAGAGGGCATTTGTTCTCAGCTGAATTGGTGAAGCAGGTACTAATCCAGCCCTACGCCTTGTAGGTGCGGGGCTGTCTTCCTGGTGGGGGATGCCATGGCTGCAGAGACAAGGTTGTGCTGCACAGCATTGAGCAACCCCATGTCTCAGTCTGGTGGGATCTGGGGGTCTGCGCCTCGAGGTGGCTTGCATGCAGCTAGGACATGCAGCTTCCCATGGAGGAGCTTGCCAGATAGGTTCAAGAGTCAGATCCTCGTGCAGTTGTGTATCCTTATGCTTAAACATAAGGATTTTTGCAGACTGTTATTTACTCAAGGATCAAGGATGCCCCAGTAGCGGTCCTTCTCTAGCAAAAGGTCTTCCAAATGCTGGAGCAAAGAGAAGTAAAATGGGATTCTGTGAGAACATGGCAAAGGTATCGCACACCATTGCTGCCACCTGGAAAATCACTTACTTTATGTGTATCTTTGTATCTGCTGCAGTGATTTAGGTGAAAGAAAAGAGTAACTTCAAGAAATTGTTTTGACTGGCCTGAAAAATGAAGTCTGGCAGTGTCAGATTGGCTAAGCTTTGTAAGGAAGGGCCCAAAAGTTGGGCTTTTTGGAGGTCAATTTGCTATTGAACTTACATGATGTCTTTGTCGTGGTTAGCTGCCTTGTCTCACAAAGTTGTCCTTTACCTGCTGATTCACTTGCCATCAGCTTTGCTGCTGGCCTGGCCACCGTGGGAGCAATGATGGGGGATGTAATGTTTTCCCTTTTTTCTTATGAATTTCTCCTCCTCTGCATTCTGTAATGGATTTGTATACTTAGGTAGTTTTATCAGTTCTCTATCTAGTTCTGTATCTGTATCCTCTACATCTCCTCTGTTAGTCCTCTACTTGCTTTCTCTTCCTTCACATGAAAAGCCAAACCAGCACTTGGGAAGTTGTCTCTTTAATGGGGCAATTAATGGCAGATACAAAAATCACTTGGGTTCCTTATTAGCAATTTCCTGACCTGGTTGCAGCGCTTACCCGAGGTGTCTCTCGCTATGGCATCTCTGATATGCAAACGTGTTAAAGAATGGTTTGAGTCACCTGGGATGTGCCGGTGAGGTATTGAAAGATACGCTTTGAAACCTTTCAGTATGCCATGGGGAAGGAGGGAGGACGGGCTGACCGTTAAATATAGAAAGCCT